TATGTTATATTGTTCGCACTAGTGCAGACTCCTTTGGAATTTGCGCCCTCGCGGAGCCGTGGCTGCGGAGGTGTTATTTACGCCAGTGGTTTTTACTTTACAGACGTTATCACAAAAGAAAAATTGCAAAATTAATTTTATAATTTATTAAAGCGAGATTTGTTGGACTACTTCAGGGGCGAGGGAAGTTGGGTCGAAATAGAACTTGGTTCAATTGTTTGGAGAGTGTGAACGGACATATTTTGGCGTCAGTAAACTTCACAATAATTTTAAGCTCTATTTCAAACTTCGGGCAATTTCGAAGCTTATCACAGTCACCAACGGACTGACACGTATGTGCTCACAGACGAGCCGATAGACCCTCAGGAACTTTATCGTTCGGAAAATAAAAACCTGAATCTATTTAAAAATCGTTTGTTCAAATTACGATAATAACTTCGTAGTGATGCATAGATGTGATTCTGTCTGAAACTGGTGTGAACAATTGTAATTCATTCTGAAAATAGTACTATATATATGGAATTACAACAGAGTACAGTAGAGTGCGGTTTCTAAAACTTTAAGATATAAAATCACAACACAGGTTAATAAATAAGAGAAAGCGGGATTAAAAAAATTAATTAAGGTGAAGTCTAATGTTTTTAACAGATTTATTTCTTATTACTGATTTTGAATTCGTTCCGCTTGCGAGAAATGGATCCATTAATTTATTACACATTCAACTTTTTTTAATTAGCACCAGCTTTTTAAAAATGAAAGATGATTTTGGTATCTTTTGAGCAACCTGTTACTGCTGTAGATACGTTTGACGGAGTTAATTTACAGGAATTAAAAGAACTTTTAAAAGCGACGGTGAAACTTTAGTTTGCAAACTTTACCTCAAAGAGTTCATCTGGAAAAAATGGACTTCTTATTATTCTTCTCGCAATATCACAATGTCTTTTATTTTATCATCGTGTTATGCTTCCCTTATTTCCCCTTTTATTAACTTTACTGCCAACAGGTATAATTATTAAAATTTATGCAAAGTGTGTCTTTGTTTTTTCCTCATAATAATTTACTTCTTTCTCACGAGGGTAATATCAGATAAACATGAATTATTTTGTGTGTTCTTCGATGTTTGAATGTGAAATAAGTTGCGGAAAACAAACGATAAATTTTAACGGTAAATCGGGCTGCCGACTCGAAGACAAAATATTGCCATTAGGTGTGGGTTTATGATAAATTTTTATTTTGTTAATGCAACATTGTGAAATTTAACTAGATGATGTATGTCATTTTTATACGATAAAGTTTCCACACCCATGCAACACGATAATCCCATAAAAGTACTTGTATAATTTGTCACTTGCAAACATTGCAATATGGTCAATCTAATAAAATATTAATCAATAAGTGGTTAACTGAAACGCAAATGTATAGCAATTGCTGGTAATAAAAATCGAAAGGAACACTACAATGGAAAAGAAATCTCTTTGATAAGATCTATTGGAATTGACAAACATTTTTGTCCAGTAAATTTTTAGTTTATTAATCCACCCCTTATGCATGTTGGTTTATGAAAAAAAAAATTAAAATAAACGTCCAACAGACAGACAGACAGACAGAAATTGGAAAGAAAACTGGTTGTTAGTTATTTTGATTAAACTTCCCTCGTCCCCGAAGCACACTCCACCAAATCCACCTTCTTTGAAAAATTATATAAATTTATTTCCAGACATTCTATTTTTTCTTTTAATAAAGATAATAGTAGTAACACTGTAAGAAAAAAATCTGAATGCGTAGGGTAAAACCTCAACACGGATTCATAAATCACATGCAAGAAAAAATATATTTTTTTTAAATTCAAAAAAAATTTATTTTTGCAAAATTCTAAGATGGCCTCATAATTTTTTGAGAAAACCGTAAACGAATAAATTTTGAATAATGCGAGGGTATAGAGCGAAATTCGACAAGTGACGAAAATTCGAAACCGAGTTACAATTATTTAATCAATTTTTGCGCAATAAGATGTATCCACGAAGTAAAAGACTAATAACAAGGCGATTCAAATCACTAGAAATTTTGGTTGTGGTCTGTAGGTAAGCCCAAATTGATTGTGTTGAGATTTTAAATAATGCTACTGAAAATAAAATTAGTTTTTTTAATTTTCGTGACTTATTATTAGGTTTTCGTTCTATACTCTCCAATGATTTATCATGCTTCTTGTAATCTTCAAACTTTTGCAAGATTTGAGTTTTTTACGTTTTCACCTTATATAGGATGACTCAAAAACAACTCTATGCAAATTAATAAACGGGTCCAAAAATGTTAATGACGTTATCACAAAATTTTGTAATGGGAAAATTCACTTGAAACAAACGCGTAGCACGCTTCTTTGCCTTTATTTTAACATATCTTTATTTTAAGTTACAAGGGTTATCATAAACAAATAAAATTTGTAAAATCAAATTTTGTAGTTTTTCGAAAAAGCTGGATATGATTTCTTGTATCTTATAGGCGAGGAAAGTTCTGTCGAAATAACCTTCGATAAATTTTTGTGTTTATAACAATTTTCCAAAACCCTCATCTTTTTTTCTACAATTAAATATATGTACAATTGCCAAGTTAATTTTTAATTTTTTGTTGTGTTTCTTTGGTTATTTATTTGTAATTTTTTTTTCTCAATTTGTTCTGAATTATTTCTAGTATCGGTTGCCCTTTCTTCTTTTTTTAATTCTTCCTTCTTCAGTTAGTAATAACATAATTTCTAATAAAAGAAACCGAAAATAATTAACAGTTATAAGCATGATATGCTAATGAGTATTTTAGTTTGTTAAAAATTTTTAGAGGTATCCCATAATTTCTAATAAATATTTTTTTCATTAGCAATCAACGAGCAAAATCCATAAATAGTCGTGTATGTTATGTTACCTCAGACTTTACGCAGACAAATTTGTTAATCTCATTACTTAGGTCTGATTAGAGGTAATCTCGCAGGTTCTAAATTACCACACGAAATTGATTTGAGATTAAAATTTTTCAAGTCGCTGCTACCTCTCTTGAGATTGATCCGCTTTAGTTGTAATGAATCGTCTTGAAGGGAGCAATTTGCCTCTAGACATGAACCATGAAGAGAAAAACACATTTAGGATTTCCGTTTAAAATATGTGCCTTTTAAGTTTTAATCTGGATTAACGACTTTCTTATTTTTCATGTAACAAGTCTGCCGCAGTATAATTTCAAAACAAATTCATAGCACGTTACATTCGAGGGTAAGTTTAGTTTCACCTTTTGCAATCTAGACCTGTAAAACTAATTGGAAAATATTATCTTGTGTTTTTTATTCGGTTAAGGAAGTGTTGTAATCGAGTCCATCGGAGGATTGGCTACTTTCGTATTTTTTCGATGTGTCATGATCCCTAGAGTACGAAATAATAATAGGTCTCCAGTTTCCGTCGGTTTGTCTGCCTGTCTGTCTGTCGTCTGTCCATCTTCTTTACTAAAAAAATTGTGTGTGAAACACTTAACCGCTAGAGATAGTTGTTTTAATTGGAAGAAAAAAACTGTTCTAAAGGTATTTCGAAAAACTTTCCTCGCTCCTGAACTACAGTCAGATATTTAAGTCTAGCTCCTTAGATCAATTATAAAAGGTTATTCTGAAATATTATTTTATCGGTGAAAATACACGTACTTTAAAAATAAGAAATTGGTCTAATGCTATTACTTAGAACTTCACTCGCCCTTAAAGTACAATAAAAAAACTCAAATTAAAAAAAATATAGTCACAGTGCAAGAACAAAAAGGCGGCCCATGAGGGGATGGAACTCCAGACCTTCGCGTTATTAACACGCGCTCAACCATCACAGCCATCGACCACTTGCGGAAAATTTCTCTTATATATATAAAATAATCTTTTTTTCGAAAATCTGAATGCCTAAGATAAAATTCCAAGGCGAATTCCTAAACCACAAGTACGTCATTTTATAAAATTTAAATAGGTTTTACTATGAAGTAATTTGAGTTGACAATTTCAGATTGTAAGTGGGGACGACGTCATCTCCAAATTTTACAATAGTAATAATGTTATTTCCATTTTATAAAATACCATACTCCTGCCCTTGTGGGTTCTGTATTGAGTTGTCGCGCCGCAGATATTCAGATTAAAAGAAAATCAACATTATAATAGTAGTTTACGATACAAGTAACGTTATTAGGGTTTTTACAGTACGAGGAATATGTTTGAAGAACGAGGGGCGGTAGCCCCGAGTTCTTTAAAATTTCCGAGTAATGTAAAACCAGATAACGTTACGTGCATCGTAACACGTTTTATTTTATCCTATAATCACAATTTAAAACTATAACAAAAATATTTTTAACGACAAAGTTCAAAGCGCACGAAAAATCAGTCAGCTATGCCTGCGCTGGTAGCCACGGTATTAGTTGTTTACACTGAAAAAACGATTGTTTCTGATTTTGTAAATGCGAGAATGACTTCCAAAATAAAAGGCCGTTGCTGAAAGGCAAAAAACAGCTGGCAGGTATCTCAAAGAGGTAGTAAACTTTAAGACCTGGAGAAAAAAATACACGAAAGATAAATTAATTACTATTAGCAGACGCTTCGGAATTAGTAAGTTTTTAAAATTTTTATGTCAACAGCTCTGAAGGGAAAATGTCAGTGAAGATTATGATTTCACAACAACACTAGTGGTGTTATGAAAATTCATAACAGTACTAGTAATGTAAAGTATGCCTTAACGTAACTCGTTGTCAACGTGTTATCGGTATGGTTACAATATAGGATAAAATAAAATATTTTATCGGTATGGTTACAATATAGGATAAAATAACTGGTTTTACATTACTCGGAAATTTTAAAGAACTCGGGGCTACCGCCCCTCGTTCTTCAAACATATTCCTCGTAATGTAAAAACCCTAATAACGTTACTTGTATCGTAAACTACTATTGTCACGAAACTGCTAGTTGCCCTAGTTATGTAAAGATTGCCTCATGCCATGCTTGTGGGATGTCAGCAAAAACCTCTTTTTGCTGGCATTACGGAAGCTTAGGTGGGGGGAGTGCGGACTGACGAAAGGGGCAGTCGGTACTAACTAGGGACAGGGGGAAGGAGAAAGTGAGAGAAGTGAAGTGACGCATCGTACCCCCTAAGGATGGAATTTGTAATGTAAGTTGAAATATATTTAGTTTATTTAATGTATTTGGGATTTTTATTCTTAACGTCGGATCGGGTAATTATCCTTAGCTCTACCAATCTCTCCCCCGACCCGGTCGTGACATATGGTGGAGGCGCCCAAAATTTCGCGCATATAGTGTTTTTTAAATCTTAAGAAAAAACAAAATCTTATTTTATGAATAATAAAAACCCCGCGGATCCAAAAACCCGTCAGCAATACAAAATCCGTATAGAAAAAGAGTACGGTTCGTTTCAACCAAAAAGCAGAAGTTCTGATATTCACGGAGTCGTTAAATTAGGGGGATGCGGTTGTGACACTACAGAAACAGATCCGGAACCACTTGTACTTAGTCCAATCCCCATCGAATTACCAGAAACCAACCTAAAGCAGTTAACATTGTCCGCACCAACTTCACAAAATTCTGAAACAGTAGACCAAACGTTCGATAAAATACCGGGAACAATCCCCAACAAATCGCCTCACTTCACTGAGCAAAACATCAGAGATACAAACGACCCATCTAACGAAAAAATGGCCAACGTTACAATCACCGAGGCATTCACAAGCCAAAAACATCCATCGATCCCGAGCTTCATTAGTCCAGAAATTTTTGATCCAAAACGTGACGACCCACAGCGGTTTATCCAGAATTATGAGCGGGCAGCAGTGGCCAACGCGTGGAATGACAACTTGAAGATTTCATATTTCGGCTCATTTTTGTCAGGAATAGCGAACAGATGGTACGAAAATTTTGTTACGAATAATGCTACAAAAACCTGGACAGATGTGAAGAAAGAATTCCTAAAAGAATACAGAATGTCGGACTATTCGGAAGACAAGGAAAGAAAATTTGAAAACCGCAGACAGACCCGAGAAGAGTCAGTAAGAGAATACTTTTTTGATTTATCCTTCCTAGCGTATGAACTGGACCCATTAATGGAGGACGAAAAATTTATCAAACAATTCGAGAGAGGCATGCAAGATAAATATTTTAGCAACTACAAGATTCTAAAACCAGATGACGTTACCGTACCAGAACTTAAATCAATTATTGCGAAACTTGACGTTATAGAACAGCGAACAAAAGAAAGCCAAGGGTACTTTCATGACCGACAGGAAGTTGAAGAAGCGAATAAGTATACGAAATTTACCACAAACTCTAGGAAATTTGATAGTAGGCCACCACACTTAAATGGAGGCAATTTCAAGAAAAATGTACCAAACACCCGCAGCTCTAACGGACGACCAAGGTGCTACCATTGCGGAAGAATTGGACATTTTGCAGGCGCATGTTGGCACAATACAAGTGGCAACAATTACAAACAGGATCACCACCCAAACGCCAAGGGACGACGAAACTAAACCTCCCAGTCGTCCTTACGCAAAAAGGGAGAAGCAGCGGCACTTCAACCCTCAACAAACCCCCGCGTCTGCTAACCCTAAATGTACAAGTTAACAAACAACATCTTACCGCAATTGTAGATACAGGCGCCGCAACAAATGTTGTTGTCAGCAAAATAATACCGAAAAACGAAATTCGCAAGCAGCAGCAAATGTCTTTTTTATTAGCGGCGGGCAACGCGAAAGTTCCTATCTTAGGTACAACCTCCCTGACTTTAAGGGTAATGAATCGTACAAAAAACATTTCAGCATACGTCGTGGAGAATTTACCCTATCCAATTATCTTAGGCATGGAATTTTTATGCAACGAAAAATCTATCATTAATTTACAAGATAACACGATTATGCTGACAGGTAAAGTTTTCGAACTGATTAAATCGTTTCATGTTTCACAACATACAAGCTATACGCAACGTAGGTCAGTTAAGGGGTACAACAACACCTTAGTCGACATTCCTAAAATGACTTATTATAAACAATGCGTTGATGACATATCGCAAACATTACGTGCAATCATAAAACGGAATAATAACACGGAAATGACACAAATTCGACAGAAAGAAACTATGACACAAGTCAACACTATACATGATTCACTTCGCGACCACAAATTACTGACACGGCAAGACCTAGACCTTCAAGAACAAGACACATACGAAACCTTCGCAAAAGCGAATTTTGACATTTTTGACACCATCACTAGTTGCAACATCTCCACCATGAAAGTCCAAAGAAACAGTTACCCTTGTGTCACATGGTTGTTCAATGAACAAAATAAATTAAACATACGCAAAATATATTCCACTGATAATAAATTAAATTTTACTCTTAATGTGGCAAGTAACTATCAAATGATATGGCACGTTCTAAAAGAACTAAAACAAATAGTAACGAGGAAGAATATTACACACATGTATTTACAAAAACCAGCTGTGAATAATACCCAAATTAAAGTTGCCGAAATTATCCGTATGATTTATTACATTTTCAAAGACACACCTATTAATATTTATATTTTTGAAAATTCAATTTCCACTTCAGAAATAAATTCACAAGATTACAACACTGTAACTGTACACCAGACATCTCCCCCCTTATGTGATTCAGTTTCTGCCCAAACGAGTGATCAATTGCAGCAAACCGGCGACCGAAACACACACATATTAAAACTATGTCTATCAAAAGATTATAAAATGGACCCACATACGAAAATTACGGTAAAGCTTACCTTAAATGGAGACGTCAGGGACATCACATTACCTCACTTATCAAACAATAACAAATTTTTGGTCAAAAAAGGACTCATTTTAAACGTTGCAGACGACTTTACGTCAGGAACATTAGAATCTCGAGGTCATAATGCATTAAAATTATTTAAGGGTACTGCTGTTGCGTACCTAGAAGAACTTGTGATAGACAAACCCTTATTTTTAATAAATCAACTACAAACGGGCCAAACGAAAAATCGCGAAGTTAAAATTGACTCTAAATTGTCCTCTCAACAAAATGAAGCAATTAAACATTTAATTAACTCATACAGTGATATATTTGCGGACGACCTAACCGAAATAGGCTCTACGCAGCTAGTTGAACATAAAATACAATTAACAGACAGTACTCCCATTAAAAGCAAACCATATAAAGTATCCCCAAAAGAACGCCAAATAATTGAAGAGCAGATCACGGAAATGCTAGAACAAGGTGTAATTAGACCTTCCCAATCTCCGTACTCCTCCCCAATTGTTTTGGTAAAAAAGAAAGGCGAAAAAGAAAAAGTGCGATTTTGCGTGGATTACAGAAAGTTGAATAAGGTGACAAAAAAATCCAATTACCCATTAAGTAATATAGATGAAATTCTTACGTATTTCGGAAAATCTAACTTTTTCAGTACGTTGGATCTTTTTAGCGGTTTTTGGCAAGTTGGAATAGAAGAAAACTCTAAAGAGTACACAGCGTTTGTAACACCAGGTTTCGGACTTTTCGAATTTAACAAATTACCTTTCGGTCTGTGTAACGCCCCGTCGACTTTCCAGGACCTAACGGATAGAGTTTTTCGGGGACTGAAATGGTCGTCCGTTCTAGTGTATCTCGATGACGTGATTGTTTTTTCAGAAACTTTTGAGGAACATTTGGACAAGTTGAAAGAAGTTTTTCAAAGATTAAGAGACGCTAATCTTACATTAAAAACTCAAAAGTGTACGTTTGCAGCTACGCAGGTGAAAGTATTGGGGCACATTGTTAACAACAATAGCATACGACCGGATCCTGAAAAGCTCGGCGCAATTAGAGATTTTCCCAGACCAAAAACTGTTAGGCAATTGCAAAGTTTCTTAGGTTTAGCCAATTATTATTATAGAAAGTTTATCGCAAATTTTTCTAAACTCGCTCATCCCCTGCATAAACTACTATCAAAAAATTTCAAATTCAAATGGGATACGGAACAAGAGGATGCTTTTAATGTTCTAAAAAATAAACTCTGCGAGTCTCCCGTCTTAGTGCATTTCAATCCCCATATCGGTTGCGAACTTCGAGCAGACGCGTGTAAAGATGGTCTAGGGGTGATTATACTTCAGGAATACGAGGGGCAGATGCACCCTATGGCATATGCCAGCAGGTCATTAACAAAAGCCGAGAAAAATTACTCAATCACAGAATTAGAAGCTTTAGCAGTCCTATACGGTTTAGTGCATTTTCGCCACTTTGTTCATGGTCGCCCCGTCACAGTAAAGTCGGATCATCACGCTCTTTGTTATTTGAAAAACGCAGATCAGTCGACAAGCAGGTTAACTCGCTGGGCGATCAAATTACAAGAATTTGATTATCAGGTAATATATAAAAATGGTAAAGCACACACCGATGCCGACTGCCTTTCACGCAATCCAGTACTTCCCGCTCCTGAAGAAGAATCTGACCTTTTCGACGTACCTACCTTCCTGCTGGACAACGTACATATTCGCTTTGAACAACAGAAAGATCCGGGTTTACAACAACTAATACAAATAATTGAGGATCCAGAAAACAACGAATCGACAATAGCTTTGAGGAGAAAATCCAAAAATTTTACACTAATCAACGGCGTCTTATACAAAAAAAATGCAATACCAAGTGGAAATGATAACCTCCTAGTAGTCCCGCATCATCTGAAGCACGAGATCCTTTTTGCACACCATTCCGAACCCTTGGCAGGACATTTAGGGATAGCAAAAACGTTCCATAGAATTAAAGGGCGATTTTACTGGGACGCTATGCAGTCAGATGTGGAAAAGTTTGTAAAAGGGTGTGCAGACTGTCAAGCGCGGAAGGGCGAACAACATAAGAAACCAGCCGGACTACTAAAACCTATTCAAGTGGGGTTGCCATTTGATAGAGTAGCCATAGATATCTTGGGACCATTCCCAAAGAGCAAGAGAGGAAATGTAGTCATAGTTGTAGCCACAGATTATGCAACAAGATGGGCTGAGACTCGGGCGATGGCTAATGCTAAAGCAGAATCAGTGGCCAAGTTTATTTTGGAACAGATACTTACGAGACATGGAAGCCCAAGATACCTTTTGAGTGATAGGGGAACCAACTTTCGGTCGCAAGTGGTACAAGAACTGTTGAAATTGATGGGTGTTTATCACAATTTTACAACAGCTTACCATCCACAGTGTAACGGACTGACAGAGAGGTTCAACAAAACACTCGCCGACATGCTCGCCGTTTTCACAAGCACCAGCCAGAAAGACTGGTGCCAGTATTTAACTCACGTAACGTTCGCCTACAATACAGCTCGTCAAGATACCACTCAGTTTTCTCCATTCATGCTTGTCTATGCAAGAGAAGCAGTCTTACCTACGCAGGCAAATCTTCTGCAGGAACCGCTGTCAAGCTACGTGTTTGATATTAGAGAAAAGGCATTGGCCGTTAGGAACTGGGCTGTCGAAAATATTTATAAAAAACAAAATATTGATAAAGAAAGATTCGACGAAAAACATAGGCACGTTGAGTTCATGCCTGGGGAAAAAATAAAAATATTTACTCCTATTAGAAAAGTGGGAAAGAGTGAAAAATTATTATTAAAATATTTCGGCCCATATACGGTGATAAGAAAAATGGGGGATGTGGATTACGAGATTAGAAAAGGCTCGAAAAAAGAAGTTGTACATGTAAGTCGACTTTTAAAATATAATGATCCATGGAGTCCACAGGTGAGTAGCGACAAATAAACAATGTTTTCATTGATCTACTTTTGCATCCATTATAATGAGATAATTTTGTCGAACTATATAAAAGCGTTGGGTGTTAGTTTTTATTTTAAATGTATGCTTTGTTAACGGGGGTTTACGAGAACTTTTCAAACGTGTGAGCCTGCGTGTCGGAAAAAGACAAACAAATAGTACAATTTTTAAGTTTAAGGTAAAACGAATTCAAAATAAATGTATTAACATGGCTTTCCTACAGGCTGTTCGCTATCTTACTAATCAGTCAAAATTCTTGCGTTGGAGGACAAATAGAAGTGTCGGCAGGAGCATTCTGGAGGCCCCTTGTGGAGACTTTGAATTACGAGGCAACCATACCAATAAAGTATACAATGGCGTGGTTCAAACCACAAACAAACAGTACGGGCACATCAAAACAATGTAGTGGCGATCACAATTGCGAGCTGGCGACCGCTATGCACCAGTTAATGGAAGCGGTTGACGGCGAGCTGGAACCACAAGAGTCGGAAGAAGGATGGCAGCTTTTTGAAGATCAACAGCACAGAGAAAAACGCAGCCTGGATTTTCTAGGAGAGGGACTGGCTTGGTGTTGCGGCGTTGCAACACAACACAAACTAGACTCGCTGCACATGGAAGAAAGGGCTTTACAGAAAAAACTTCGACAATTGGAGGGGGGCCTATCTGAAAATATCAAAACGCTAAGTCAAAATTCTGTGGAATTTAAAAAATATACAGATCAGGTCGGGGAGGCTTTTAAATCCACGGAGAGGAGGATTAAAGAAATGGAAAAAGCCATCACAAATTTTAGGAACAAGACGAATGAATGGGAAGGATTTTTCGGTACTTTAATAGAAAATCAATTTCAGAATACTAGACGTGTCGTAACAATGTGGCGCGCGTTGGAACAAAGGGACGTAAAACTGTCATGTCGACAACACCAAATACCAGAAAAGGTGTTGCGGCCCCAACTTTTTCAAGCGAACTTAATGGAACTTCAAAAGGAATTAATCAAAGCAGGTCACGATTTAGCTATTGCTGTCACGGATATACACAGGTATTATCAGTTACCAATAACAGATTGTGTAATTTCAGGAAATAACATAACACTGGTAGTACGAGTGCCCATCGTACAACAGGGCATTAGGTGGAGTTTGTTTGAGCTCATAACTGCACCCTTCAGTTGGTACAATCAGAGTTGCAGAATAGAGTACAGCACCTTGTTTTTGGCGGTGGCAGAAGCTCCCTACACTAGACACCGGAGGCACAATTTGTACCGACAAATTTCTGGTTTGGGGTTGCATCAGTGCAGGCCGCACTCCGACAAGCTGTGTTTTCTTCCTCGATTCGGAGAGGATAAACTTCATGGGCCTACGTGTGCACGAAAATTATATGAAGGTGCGACAGTGGAGGAATTAAGTTACCACTGCCCCATGAAATGTCACGCATCGACATCGCTTACCATCACAGAAGTCGAGGAGGATTTATTTATAATAACAAATTTAAAGGTAGGCGCTTATATAAGTTGTCCCAGCAGTAATAAAACCCTAACTGAATTCGGAAGCTTATTGGGCGCATTAAAAATAAAACTTCACTGCCAGTGTGCACTTGTTTACCTGCATGATGTAATAATACCTAGACGTTTTCCCTGCTTAGATACTATCCCTCGCATCCACGTAAATCACATAATTCCAGCAGCGTGGTCGAATCTAAAATCTTTCATTCTTAACCCCATTCATACCCACTCGTTACCATCATATAACAACTTTTCGGAATGTATTAATCCAAATTGGTCATTGACTATTCCGCATTTAAATTTAACCTCCCCGAATAAACTTCTCCAAAATTTTGTCGCAAATATTCCAGAATCACCACAAATTTTTTCTTTTGCGGACAGTTATGGTGTACATACATCCGCTACTTTAGTTGTTTGGAATTTAATCTTAACTGTTTTATTAATATATATATTTTGGAAATCCAACCACCCAGCGATAGCCTCCCCCAACCAAACATGTAACCCTACCACCTCCCTTCTACTACAAGGGGGGGAAGCCGTTAGGATAACTGTAGATGACGCGTCGTAAATTATATATATTATCACCCTGTGGATCTTGTCTTAATATTTGGACTCTCGATTAAAAAGATCGTTAGACAAATGCTGAGGCAATATCTGTACAGGTCGATTGAAGCCTGCAGGCATATATGTATTACCCATATATAGGTTATATGTAGATAATAAGTAGTTGTCCACTGTTTTATATTTTAGATCGGAGATTGAACATAGATTTAGAAAGTTATTTAGATATTGTGTACTGGCTTCGCTTTATCTATTTTGTAGGAGTATAAGGTAATTCTAATGAATGAACTTTTTTTTTATGTTCTGGAACCGGGTCTGGCAACGGGAGACACCTACCATACATAAGGCGTTCTTGCTCGAGACAGAACCAGCATGGAAAAAAAAAAGGCCCTGACATCACTCTCGCATACGACGCTCTCGTTCGAGAACCAAGCTTCTACGACGACGAGTTCTCCTTAAAGAAGACTCCAGTTAACAAGACTGGACTCATAGTGGTTGAGTTTTGCCAAAAAGGAAATGGTGGTGAACGGGACTTCGGCCAGTAAGCAGGGACGTTAAAATAGCGCTCATCATCTGCTGCAATTAGTAAGAGAGTGCCGCTTGTCGCGAGAGATTTTAAAACAGTTGCTTCAAAAGATAAATACCTTAAATCAATTTTTGTCTTATTCAAGTGTGTAAAATGTTGGTAGGGTCTTCCTGGGTATGTCGACCAGAAGAATGTAATTTTGTATCGTTGGGTATCTTTGTTATTGTAGTAAAGTAGGAGTGAAGTCTAATATGATTGTATATTTTATAGGGTTGTGTTTGCAAAATGGATAATTTGTGGCTATGTACGTTTTATGCATTGTATTAGTTAAGAGATATCTGTTTGTAAAACACTGGAGGTCCAGTGTTCCTTAAGGAGGGAGATGTGTCACGAAACTGCTAGTTGCCCTAGTTATGTAAAGATTGCCTCATGCCATGCTTGTGGGATGTCAGCAAAAACCTCTTTTTGCTGGCATTACGGAAGCTTAGGTGGGGGGAGTGCGGACTGACGAAAGGGGCAGTCGGTACTAACTAGGGACAGGGGGAAGGAGAAAGTGAGAGAAGTGAAGTGACGCATCGTACCCCCTAAGGATGGAATTTGTAATGTAAGTTGAAATATTTAATTATTATTTAATGTATTTGGGATTTTTATTCTTAACGTCGGATCGGGTAATTATCCTTAGCTCTACCAATCTCTCCCCCGACCCGGTCGTGACACTATTACAATTCAACTTTGAAACTACAAAACCAAATGCTGTCAAATCTCAAACGTTTTAAAGTTCCCCTCAAAAAAAAAATGTCGTTATCTTACAATTTTTTGAATAACAACATTTTACAATTTAACTTCAAAATTGCAAAACCGAATCTTGCAAAAGTCTTAAGGTCATCAGAAATAAGGTAAATTCTTAATCAAAAAATGAAATGTTATCTTAAAATTTTATGGAATAAATTCTATCTAAAATGTTAAAAATATTGTTATTGTAGTTTCTAAATATATTCATAATTTTTAGAATTACCTAAACAGGGTGACTCAACAAAATTTATAAATGTGGAAATTTATTTTACTAATCAAATTAAGAACGGCTCACCCCATTTTCCCTAAAATTTACTAGTACTGTTATATTATTGTACTAAACTGTGTTTAAAGTCTAGAATAATCCCATTACAGAATTGCATTACATAAATTGCTTCTAATTAATCCTATAACGAAATAAAATGCATGGATAAATTTTATTTTTTATTAACTGTTAAAATCAGGAATTACATCGTCTACAAAATCCATGAAATTTTTAACCCTACTAAATACAGTCGTTTTTTTCTTGCCTTTTACTCTAATTCCAAAAGATACCAAACCTATAAGCTTACCATTTACTACAAGAGGACCCCCGGAATCGCCCTGTAATACAAATCAGACAAATAATTAGATTAATTCTAGCAAAAACACAACTTACAACAAGGAAAATTAAATAAAAATTAATAATTATTCAGATAAAAAATTGCTTCTCATGTATTATAAATATAAGAAATAGAACGTATTTGGAGCTTTTAAGACAATGTTTGTTTCTAGAAAAAAAAAAAAGACTGTGCAAGTGGACGAGTAAAGTAATTGAAATTTCTACAACTGTTAAGTGTTGCATTATAAATTCCGTTACACAGCGAAATCGCAATTATTACGAATTAATGTTTTTCAAGACGTTGCGTTGTTCGATTTTAAAAACAGTAAACGCTAAGACCTAAAAAAGAAAATTATGTAATAAGGAAATAATGAGATTCAAATAAATAAAAATAATGTTATGCATCGTCATATTCTCAGAGATGAAAGAAGTTATTACTATTAAATTCAATATTTGCTGATACGGAAAAAGAAATATGTATGTTATTGGTTTTCAAATATTTATTCTGCTTAAGATGTAATAAAGTAGACGCTCAAATACGTTTTCCTCCATTCAATACACTTCTCAGTCGATTTAAAGCTCTGATTTAGTGGCAATGTAAAATTTTTAATAAAATGAATGACATAGATTGAATTTTTCAAGAAATAAAAACATTTTTTTAAATTATGCTTTTATTTATTCTTTTAGTGTTTAAGGTGCATTGCTATTCAACTGCATTATTATTGAAAATATTCAAACCACGAGATTTTGCTTCAATAGTTGGTTTTAGTCTACTTGCATGTATGCGAGTAACCAGCTATATATACACAAATTGACTTTTAGGATTGTTGCATAACATTTTATAGGTCTCTGTCTATTAAAAGAGACATCACTCCTTGGATGTTCTGCCTGATGTAGAATTTTTGTTACGATTCTCATTTTGAATTTGATTGTTACAATTATACAATCTTTTAAATGTAAATATTTGCAACTATAAAAAAATATATACGTGAGAGTTGTGCTGAATTCCCTCAAAATTATGTAATACACATTATTTTTAAACTTAGCTTACTATTACTAGCTCATAAATTTCAGTTTTTAGTTTCGTGCAAAATGAGAATTACTTATCATGTGTAAGACCGAAGACCTATTTCTTTTTTTTATTACCGACAGAGAATAGAAAAACAACTGCAAAAATCTGTAAAGTACATACATTCTGGAATTGAAACGCAAGTAATACACATTCATTTCATGATCTCATTAGTGGAGATAAATAAATTTTGAAAGCTGTAGCTGCTATGTAATACAACATAATAATATGTATGTCACTGACATTTTCGGTGTTTTTTGTAATTTTAGATAAAACGTACGTAATTTTCCCATGTAAAACTTAATCTTGTTAAGCAGAGTAATTATAAATGTTTGCTCATCCAAGTAGTGGGCTGTGTATTTTGCCCCTTGTTCTGATGATGAACTTGATTAGCTACAAATTTGTAAAGTGTCAAATTTGTGCTGGATGACCGGTACAATAAAACATCGAATGCTTTATTTGAGAACTGTAGCAAAGTTCATACATCAAGGCAGCGATATAAAATTAATAATAATGTGAATTACTAATTTCTGTGTAGTATTGTAAATACATTCAGTAAATTCTTGTAAAAGTTCCTAACCGCCAATAAATCATTATAAATAATTAAATTTTTACTTTACTTAAAGTTCCATATACGCATCACAGTGTCTAATTGTCTAATTAGTTTAATTGTAAATGACTCGGTCTTACGTCGTAGAAAGTTCAATAAGTCATAAACGATAAAAGCAAGAAAAACGAGGAAACTCAAATTACCGTCATTTGTAATAATGAAACGGGAATAAAAACTCACAAAATAAGTGGTCGTTCGGCTGGGTTTGACACAGATCATATTCGACGAGATCCTGGGATGAAGAATTCCCGGAAAATAATCCTGACACTTGCCCCACTTTTCCACAGTGAGTTTTGTCGCTCGCAAATACTTGGACGGACGTCCAGACTCCGTCCTACCCCATCCTGAAATTAATGTGGGTAACTTTTAAATTTCGAAAACAAGAACATCGTCTAGTAGCTAGCGATTAAATTTTAAAAGTTTTAATTTACTTTTAACAACCGATATCTTTTTTTTTAATATACGTTTGTAACGAATGAATACTGCTGATTTACCATAAATTCACGTTTATACATTTTACATGCTACAGTCTTTCCAAAAGAAATATTTAGCAACACTCGAATTGTTTCATTATTGGAGAATGCAACTAATTTATTATTGGATATATTGTACTCATGTTTTAAGAAAATATAATAAATGTAAAAGGTCCTCCTAGAAACTAAAGAAATTGCTGTTTTTAGTCTGTCGTAACACTACCAATATGTTTTTGTGTTGTGAAATTTTTTTGCTAGCTTATACTTATATTGAACCGACAGACATTGGTAAAAAAATTTATGAAAAAATCGGATCGGTAATATTTTTATTTCATTGTGTTCCACAAAATATACTTTTGAGGGCGCTGCGTGCTTTTACGTAAACAGTTAAACGTTAAAAAATATAAACACTCATACTACCTATGAGTGCTACATCCACAATGAGTATATTCAGTACAAAATTAAAAATTGAAAAAACATTGTGACCAGCTGAAATTACATTTGAAGAACAAATATGATTTTTTTGCTTAAAGCTGTTGAAATTTAACGTCTTCACCATACTTTCTAAGTAGTAACGAACTTAGAAATATATTTTTTCTAGTTCCGAATTTATTGAATTCATTTTAAGGTGAATTTGGATAGTGTATACGGTGTTATGTCTCAATAACTAACACCCGTACAAGACTCTCTTGCTATTCAACTGTTTACATCTCAAACATCTAATGCGAATAGGTCTACTTACTTATAAATCAAAAATCGGAAAATTGTTAGTGGTATTTATGCTTTCAACACTTAAAAACATAAATATTATATTTTAAAAGATGAGCTGTTGAGGGTAGTTTTAGGAAATAATTTTAAATAGTTAATACCACCTATACCAAAATTTGTAGGGGTAATTATCTCTGGCTAGGGTAAATTTTACAAACTTTTCGTGAAAATTCAATAAGAGAAGCTTCGAGTTATTTAACTTCTTAGATACTAAATGTGTAAAAAAAAGGAACGGATTAGACCAACTGGGGATTTACGTGAATCATTACTTCATTATTGTTAGAGAAAACTAAAATGATGGCATAACCGCCACGTTTTGGTAGAAACAAATTTGTGACCAATCAAGATTGGTATCTGGGTAGCAATTTCCAGAGTTCCTATCTTTTTTTACGAAACAATTAATGCTAATCGCTACCAGCTCATTTACACAATTTTGTCAATCAGTTGGAAAAGAAGAGAGAGAGAGAGAATAGTTTCTTGCAACAAGATTCTGCTACTCCACACGTAGCTGCTGTAATTCTGCAATATTTACAACAAATATTTCGTGGAAGAGTCAGGGACTATGGCCCGCTAGATCACCAGATCTTACGCCCCCAGATTTTTTTTGTTTGCACATTGCTTTCCGTAACAAACTTCACACTTTAAAGGCACTGCAAAATGCCATAATTCAAGAAATTAATAACATCGGTGTTGATGTATTACAGAGAGTTTTTGAAAATTTAGAGTTTATCTGTGTTTAGAAAATAATGAACACCTTTTTCAACATTTGTTGTAACATACCTATTTAAAATAAATAGTTGTAAATATTCCCATAATATAACTGGTTGCACAATTTCAGTGTAGAGCAAGGTATACGACCCTATAAGTACAACTTAAAATTATTTGTCATCAAGCTGATAAATTTGAAAGCAAAAATAGGTGGTACCAACTCTTTCGATCATTCTAGATGGCGCTGTATATATTTTATAAATACTTTTTGTATGTTCACCGATTAATTGGTCAAAGTTCATATTTTCTTAGCAAAATTATTATTATTGTTTAACTATACATTTTACTATTTACTTTGTTGCACATTGATTTGTTAACAAATTTGTTGCTTAACTATCATTTGTATTTTCAAAACACAAAGTGGCATTTAATAAACATTTATCAATTACATTTACAGAAACACTACGTTACCCAGTAATTATAAGGATCTAGCAAATTCTTAAGTTTCTTTTATGCTAACGCCACTTTAATCTATAGATTTTGTTCATTTAAGAAAAAAATCATAAAATGTGAAAATTCGGACCGTATAAACACCATAAAAGTAAAAATATTATTTATCAAGTTTATATAAGCTTTACCTGAACCATTTTGTAAAACTATATTTATACATATTTATTTTATTCATGTTGTTGAATGTTATCCAAATATACAAAAGGAGTACGTACTTATTTTTTTTAGACAACATATGAGTAATCCTACCTGAAATGGTAGCTAACGTTCCACCTTCATGGTCTTCGTCTGAAACTGCAATATCTCTGGCTTTGCTGCTGTACTCCACCGGTTCTTTTAGGACAATCACTGAAAAGTCGTGATCGTAATTGTGAAAACTGAAGTCCGGATGCTTCACTACTCTGTCGATTTCATGAAAACGTCCGTCCGGATCGTCGAGATAATTGGCACCGACTAAGACTGAGAGGGGCTTTCTTTCTTCGTCGAAGTCTTTGGTGTGTGTACAATGAGCTGCTGTAAAAACGACTCTGGGTCTCACCAGGGCGCCTCCGCATATTATACGTTTCCGATTCTTCCGGTGATGAACCAGAGCTACCTGGTAAGGAAAATCCGAGATGTCGACCACCGTGCCGTAGATTATTCGCTCCATTGCCTCATTAAATGGCAGATATTGAGCTTGAAAACGAAGAAAATGAGATAAAGGCGCCGGGGTGTTTTCTAATAAAGTGGTGGAGTGAAACTCGAAATAACACGAAAAGAAGCAAGATAAATCATGCCAGTGGATATAAATTATTACTATTTATGAAATAGGCGTATATTAGCTGTACATGATATTTTGAATAAAGGGTAGCATTCATTCAGTGTTATTCAATTTTATGTTTTCTTGGCATTTTAAGTGCTCCATGCTGTTTCTACTTTCGAATTACTTAACGAACTTAAATAATAAGTTAACAGGTTTATTTCATTGCTTATTTGAGAGTAGGACATTTATAATTACCTGAAATTGAAAAATTCAATAGGATTATGTTTATTTGTTAAAATTAACGTGAACTAAAAATAAAAATCTAAAGGATATTAATTTGAAACATACAGATTTCTTGTTTTAAAAATTGATGTAGGTTACTGCCCTGTACAGTTCTATACACCGTGGCTACACATCGTTTCCTGCATGGAGTATATTGAAAAAATTGAAATAAACCTGTAAACTTTTTTAAATTATTAGCTTCTGACGCTAACCGAGACAAAGTGTATTTTTAAAAGTTAAAATCATTGCGATGAATATACTAATTTGCGTGATGTTACTGCATTCAAAGAATTTCCTAGAAATTAGATGGATGGATAACTTCCGAAATCATTTGTAAAGTGTAACGCTTTATAAAGCCGCGGACAAAACTTGTGATAAACAAATGCCATTGTCAAGATTTTCAAAAGATTTGCAAGTTATAATTTACATTAAGGGATGTGGGTTTAGTCACAATCGGAGCAGAGGGTAGAGCTTTTTAATTAACTTAAATATATCGCCGTATTTGTTATAAATTTATTGAAATTTTACGATAGTGAAACTTGTTTAACAAATATTTAAAGAATCTTTTGATGAAGTTTTTGATCCACTAATCATCTCTCGTTTCTATATCAACATTTAGTCTTGACAAAAGTTTTTTTGTTACAGTTGCTAGGATTTACTAAAATAAATTAATTTTACCTATTTATCTTTCAGTAGCGTCTAAAAAGGTTGGATAAGGGTTAATTTTCCCCTTATAAATTTGATAACACAAAATAAGTTTTTCAGACTTCTTAGACTTCGCGAAGAAGTGTCAATGTTGTTGTACGTACCTTTCAATAACACCCTGTATACATACAAAATTTGGCAACAATTGGTACAGTAATTTAGAAGATTATCTGTCTGGGAAAAAACGACATATACAGACATACAGACAGACGGACAGACGACTGACAGACGAAATGGGAGACAATTTTTTTCGTACTTTAAGAGTCATGAAATGTCGAAAAACATCAAACTGGCAAGTTGCCTGCTGCACTCGATTACTATACTTCATTATCTTACATTCGGGAAATAAAAATAAAGGAGCATTTATAAACCAAAAATACAAGAGTATATTATTTTATAAAATTGAAATGGCATTAACAAAAAAAAAAAGAGGAGAGAGAGAAAGTAGGTCTCGTGTTTCCGTCTGTCTGTCGTCATCTACGTCGATTTTTATTAGACATATAGTCCCCGAAACTACTGGACCGATTGTATATGAAACGCTAACCAAAATTTGTGTGATTATCTCCTCTAGCAATTGTTGCATTGTAATTGTATCGATTTTACAGTTTGTAATTTTTAAATGTACAGTGTGTTTCCGGATTGAGTTTAGAAGAGGAATTTTTCTTTATTCGTTATTTTACTGAAAAAAGTTGAAGGAAAAAGAAATACTTAACTTACGACATATATTTCACCTACAAAAAGTTTTAATGAATCCAGATTTTTTAAAATAAATCAATTTTTATCCATTTTGCATCAATTGCGATAAAAACACAGTTTACAGTTGGCTTTGAAATTCACAAATATTTGATTGCAAACCTCAAAATGGCGAAACGTTAATGTTACAACAAAGTGAATTTGATTGTGAAACAGTGAAACAGTTAACCGGTTTATTTTTTATAAAATAAAAATATATATATATGTATTTATGTCGAAAATAGGGGGTATCAAAACTTGTAAAAAAAAAAGAAAATCATTCAGAACAAGAAAATGCTTTCATCCTATTACGTACAGTCCGCACAAACTGACCTTACGACGCCTTCGCGGAAATCATTTGCGTTAGAAATCAAAAAATCACACATACAACGAATTTGGACAGAACTGAAAATTTATTCTTGTAATAATTTTTTGGAGCCATGAGACGATGTAAAACGTCCTCATTTTGGTTTATGGATGACAAATCAAATTATTATTAGGTATATATTATATTGTCTATTACTCTATATTATACAAGAAACTGCTGTTCAGAGTGTACTGTAAACAATGATGGACTTGAATAACCTACGTTAAGTTGATTTTGTTATTTTAATTAAATTAAATAAAAATTAAACTTAATTTTTGTTGTTTATTTAAACATACGAGTATGTTTATACTTCTGTAGTTTTAATCATTGCAGTATTTATAGTTGTTTTAAGTGAAGCAAAAATGTTAATTCCTTTAATATTTTTTGTAAACTCAATTATACCTACATACCTTGAATTTTGTGTTTAATTAAAAGTGATCATCAGCAAGAACAAATAAAAAATTATTATATGCATTTGTCGACATTTTTGTATAGCGGATTTTTGTGTGTAACATATTTTGCGTTTCAAATATTTGCATTAATAACGTTGTAGTATTTCAGATATCACCATGAATGTTGATAATTTTATTACGTCTCAGTGGATACATTTTAGTCAATTAGAAGTAAGTAAATGTTTCGATTAAGTGTCAACTTATTCTCTTTCTTTTTCAAAATTCAAAATATTTATTGTGCAAATATTAGCGGTATAAATTACATATATATAAAAAAAAACAAATTACTTGCAAGAATAATGCTATATTTTATTTATCCATGTGGTCACATAAGGGACAGTTAAACCTCAATAAAAATTTGTTCTTCTAACCCTCGTTTAAAATTTACGTAACCTATAAAATTTTAGCAGCGTATATGAGGGAGTCATTCCCTTTAAATTGATGTTATACGAGTACCATGCGCACCGTATTATTTGGTATCAACTTCACAGGTAAGAGAAGCCATATGTATTTATTTCCCGTTTTCCATGATAAAATTGCACAACAATCAAACCTATAATGATGATATTAAATTTGTTAATTATAATTAATTATTATTATACCTACTTTGTTAGGTGATCTTTAACTGAAATTAAGTTCTTCACAAATTGTTTTACTACAGATGACACTTAATTCCATTAATTAACTGATAAACAAAATATTTGTTACAGATAATAATTAATTAAATAGAAAATTAAAATAACTTTGAGAAAAATTGAATTACCTAAATTTGTTGACTTAATTTGAGGAAGAGATATTTTTTCTTTATTTGTTGAACTGAAAGACTGTCCTGCAATTTTTGACATTTTATTATGAGTCCGTTCATTTTATTTCTCGAGCGTAAGTTAAGAAAGTATTGCAGTAGGGTCCATCCGACGAATGGCTACTTTTATGTTTTCTCGACGTTTCATAAGCCATAGACTATAAAAAAGAATGCTGCTAAGAATACTAATTTTATATGAATGTTAGGAATATCTCGTAGATGGTAAAACGCTATTTGTCCCCACCAACAATGGTAAAGGGTATTTAAATCTTATGGAGGGTACTCCTGCAACTGTGGTTTAGGGTTTCGTATTAAGTTTTTACCCTAGATGTCTAGAGTTTTGGGGAAAAAAAAATTGAATACGAACGTTTTGCAATTATTTAACTTTGAAACTACAACACCGAATGCTCTGAAATCTGGCAAACGTTTTAAGGTTCTCGTAAGCATGGTAAATCGTTAATTATTTTTTTTTTTGTTTAAACCCCTCTCCTATCATGACGCCATTTTACAATTCTGCCTAATAAAAGCTACTTAAATTTTATAAAATGATATATTTCTGCATGTGTCATTTGTGAATCCTTGTTGAGTTTTTACCGTAGACATGCAGATTTTTTGGAATTGTAAAACTGAAATACTATGAAAGCTTGCAAATGTTTCAAGGTTATAGGAAACATGGTAAATCGTTAACCAAATTTATTCGTTTATGGCCTTCCCAAAAAATGATGAGGTCGTCCTGCAATTTTGACGAATGTTTAATGTTCTTTAAATTTTATAAAATATGTAACATATTCCTGCGTGTGTGATTTATGAATCCGTGTTGAATTGTACCCTAAGGATCCAGATTTTTACGAAGAAAGTCAACATTTTAGAACATTTTACAATTCAACCTTAAAATTACAAAACCTAATTCTAATAATAACAACTACTTATTCAAATTAATATTCCAAAAAGTTTTGCTCCACTGTAGCCTAAGTAAGTAATTAGTCCTGTCCTCCGTTTTGAGGGGACAAAAATCAATCAAATTTTCTTTTCTTTTATACAAATGCATACCGTCGTTGATGCTTGTTATCTGAACGTGCTAATAGTAACTAATAATAGAAGTTAAGCATGTTCTGAAAATATATTTTCTCTATTTGGTTATCTGCTTTAAATATATTTCATGTTGTCTAAATCAGGCCTCTTTGGAATTTGCGCTCCGGCAACACCACTGATTTTTACTTTATAAAGGTAATCACAAACCAAAAATCCCAAAATCAAATTTTATCATTTTTCAAAGAAATGCGATTCGTTGGACTGCATTTCAGAGGCGAGGGGAGTTTCGTCGAAATACTATTCAACCAATTTTTTGTGCTTTTTACTTTGAGCATTCAAAGTCAAGTTAGAGGGTATTATTACGGTACCAATATGTTGAAATACGTCCGAATAAGCTGATAATAATCTGAAGCAGTCTGTAATGAAATGAATGACATTAACTCTGGCAAAAACACCCTTCGGGTTTTTGTTGTTTTTTAACGACATGACAACAAGAATGTGTTATGTCGTTCCTTGGATTGTTGTCCTGAGAGGTTAGAGACAAATCGGATCGTAGCAGTATTTTGGTGTATTTTAAATGAAGATCAAATATCAGTGAAAAAGATACAATTGTAAAATATTTTTGATAAAATTGTTAGGATAATTGCTCAATAACGAAGAATTACGAACACAAGAATGCTGATTTTAAATATTATAATATAAAATGCAATAAAAATATCCAACATGACAACCTGTAATTGTGAAAAATATGACATGTTTTTATCTAACAAAATTAATTACATGTGTTAAAAAGTTTTAAGAATAATGGGTATAGGGTATGATAAATACCGAGTAGGTAGTTGTGTGTGTATGTGTGTTTAAAAAAGTAATGGCAAAAACTGTTTGTTAAGTTGTAAAAGGTGGTAATCTCTTATTTGATGCAATATAGTTTAAGTTGTGCACTACATAATTTTCACGTCACGCTACGCCACTGTCAGAGGAGACGGATTCTTCGTGTTGCCTACTTACGGTTTGCCGATAAAATAACACCGACGAAACACAACAATTGGAACATTGTGAACATTTGAAGAGAATAGAGCTGCTGGCATTTCTTTTATACTTGTTGCGGATGATAAGTTTTCCATTCTTCCTGCATTACACTTGACTGTTTGCTTAGACTCATGCAGGACTGTGCAGAGAGAGAAAGTATGATGTAATCGCTTGTTCAATCGGAGCATAATGTTAATACTGCTCCATTCTTGGAGCAGTATTAACAAATCTGAAGAAAAAATGTGTTACATATTTTAGAATAACGAAGATTTATTGAAATTATGCGGCATTTCAACATGATTGTGGGAACTAAAAAAGAGATTTATAGTAGAAATTAGCCAAAGCACTTCGCAATTGCCGAGAAATAGTTAATTCAAATTTTATTTGTGTTCGCTTTATTTCTTTCTTAATAAACTAACGAAGTATGGAGTGACCAAAATTCACCGTTCCCAGTTTATTTTAGACCAAAAGAAATATCGTACTCGCAAGTACAAAAGATTAGAATGAATTGCGATTTTATTTAAACTCACTCATGCATGATACTACGCGTTATTTCCTGTAAAAGCCAGTAGAAGAAAGCGGAGGTGGTGTAGAGATTTTTTAAAGTCAATATTTTCGTGAATCGAGATGAGGTAAAAATTTGAAACTTTTCATAGTCTTATAAGACATATCATTGCCTTAGTAATTACACACACATTTCAAATTAACACGAAAGTTTTTTTGTTAAAATGAAAGATAAAATAAAACATTACCCTCGTTTCTGGTTATCTCGTGTGACGAGATAAAGTAACTTATTTAAGGATCTGTGACGGTTATCTATTGAAGGTTTAAGTGATTTTACTACGATTCATTTAAAAGAGGCAAATGAATCTTTCTTTGTAAGATGGAAATGTGAATAGGAAAATGTCTTTTATACTTATAAGGGTATTTTGTATTCCTCTAATTTGCTGTTAAATTATTAGATATTTTGACAACTATTAGAGATTAAAAATCTTGTCTAAAATATTCCAGAAAAATCTTAATAAACAGTGTGAAAAACTATGACGGTTGTTATAGTATATTAAGTATTAAGAACGGTAAGAGGGGTTTGCAGGTCGACGACAAAAGTTCGGAGGAGGAGCGAACCGACGAGTCCAATTTGTTGGCGACCTGTAACCCCTCTTACCGTTCGTGATCCTTATACTATTTTTTGCACGTTTAAGATAAATATTAAAAAAAAGAAAAAATTCGGGCAAGCTGCAAAAATGGATGATAATTTCGAGTAGGCAGTCGGTAGTATTGGTGTTAGTAATGCTTTGACAACTTCAAACAAGTAAAATTTATCAAGGCATTTTTGCTGGCGATTTTTCGCACAGGGTTATTCTAGAGAAAACTACACGAAAAGTTTGTTAAGTGTGGAAGTTCGAGGCTAGTAATTTGAACTGCAATATGGATTGTGAGGAATAAGTCGAACATGCGTGTAAAATTGACTGTTCCGCCATAAGTCCTGAGAAGTCCAGACTCATGAACTATTTATTTAAAAAAGGTACTTGCTCTTTTAAATAATATCTAAACCTCAAAAAGAAACTAACTAAACTAAAAATCGTCTAGTTCCTTTTTCATTGCAGTAACTGTAATATTTATCAGAAATAACTTTAATAAAGTGTTATAAAATCGTTGATTTACGGCCGGTTCCTTAAACAGCATCGAAAAGTAGCCTTTACGTAAAGTGTCATTTTCGATAAAGTCGACTTTAAAAGTGGTTCCTGTTCCATAAATAAAGACACGACGTCTTTTAGGTAAAGATCCCTTTAAAGTTCATTTATTAGGTTGGTACTAGACGGCTCCAAGTTCCATGCCGAAATGTGACTTGAGACACCGAGAGCCATCATCGTTTTTAAATCATCCACCAATCAGCGAATCGATATTTGCCGCATTTTGTACGCATCGTCATCTGGTCTGAAATCGCACTTTTAGGTTATGTTATTTTGTAGCGTGACATTAGAGGTTACACTATAAAAATCATAACAGTGCGTTAAAATTGAAATATGAATCATTTAACTGAGAGTTCTACCTCATCGTCTGACGATGAACCATTTCAGATGCCGATCTTAAAATTCGAAACATTGTTGCACGTTGGCCAGGCTCATCCCACGACCAGACCATTTTTAATAATAGTCGTGTAAAAAGAGACTTTGAGGCAGGAAAATACCAACCATATTTTTTAATTGGTGACAGTGGTTATGCCATTGAACCATACCTAATGACAAAACTGCATGACACTGAAACACCTGCAGAAAATTTATATAATGAATCATTGTTGAGAACAAGAAACGTGAAACGACAGTATGGAGTGTGGAAACGACGATTTCCAGTTTTATCAGTCGGTATGAGATTAAAACTTGAAACAATAATGGAAGTTATTGTTGCTACAGCAGTGTTGCACAACATTGCTGTAGAATAGAACGACATTTTTCCAAAAGAATGGTTTGAAAATATCGAACATGAAGACAACATTCAAAATCCCCCTGGACCGGATGAACATATTATTGAGGGTAAAAATCAGAGACGCCTACTGATAGATGAATACTTTGCGAGATTGTAATTTTTTTAATAATAAAAATTTATAAAACAAATATGGAAAAATATATCTCTGTATTGTACTTTTGTTTCATTTCTTGCTCTAATTTTTTGATTTGAAGTTGTAGTGCAAAGAAAATACCACGTGGTTTTAAAACCCGAACGAAATATTCAAAAACAATCGGTTCGAAAAGCGCCTTCTTCCGTTTACACATTTCATTCATTTCAAATACTCCACTACACCATATCCACCCCCACCCCCTTCACACAGTACCTGCTCTGCTATTGGCTGATCGTTAGTTTTAAAGGACCTTTACAGAGTAAAGAGCCGAATTCGGAACTTTCCATTAACAGCGATTTTAAAGTACGCTTTCCTTTTAAATTTGGTTTATGGAACAGGTTTTAGCAGGTAAAGTCTCCTTTTCTATTTAAAGACTACTTTACTTAGTTTATGGAACCGGCCGTTATATTTCTTAACTGCAAAACGTAAGTAAATCACTTAGCATTTTAGAACGGTCAACATAACGTATTGTCGCGGAAAGTCTAATACTAAGTTCATACAAATCACATGATCGTACAAAAAATTATTAAAATGAGACTAACTGTAGGTTATTTAGGGTTATTATACAACTGATTCATTTCAAGCCTACATTTTCAAATAAAAATCTATATCTAAACGTCGTAAAAGCGCAAAAGCGCAAAAGCCAAATCAATTTTTCAAAAGAACACCAGAAAGCGCGTAACATACAAAGAGGTTGACTAATTTAGTGTCATTCTGACTTGTACATAGTCCGTGCGAATACTTGCACTTAAATGCAAAAGTTAAAGATTATTCAGCCGCTCTCTCCGTTATAAAAATTGTAGACCAACAAAGTCGTTGTAAAAAGGGACAAACGTGCATGTCGAGGAGCGATTTTTTTAATGGATATCACAGGATGGTAGGTTGTGAGTGTAAAACATAGTTTTCCGGACTAGAGGTGTTGCCATTCGGCTATCATCTTGAAAAGGAGAAGGGCGCTATTAATTTTTTTATTTATTTCCTTAATCATGAGTCAGACAAAAATCTGTATTCATAATTTTTTGTCTCAACATTAAGAATACAAAAGTTAAGGGCAGAAAAACATGAAAAATTAGAGAATGAAAAACTCTGATGCGATCTTCTCAAATTAACTCTTTGCCTGTGCAAAACCAAATATATGACATGCATACCTGGCCTCTTGAAAAGATAAGTCATGTTATGCATCTAAAACTCTACAATTGAAAATTTTTCATATTTTTCTGTTTGTACGCCGAAAATTTATTAATAAGAGATAATTTGTCAATTTTATAAACATCTTTAAAATAATAAACAGGCAGAAACACAAAATGACACATTTGTAATAAATTCGACAATAGAAAATATAAGGAAATCTTTTTGTCAAATCTACTTGGTGTGGTCGCTGAAAAAGATTGTAGTGAATTTATTATTATTATTATTTTAATACCCACCACTGACTCGGACATGAGCGGCTTTCAGGCAAGACTTATATCATTATGAGTACCAAGACCAAGTAAATAATATACATATTGAACAGATTAAACTTTTGAGATCTTAGAATTACAGCATACAAATTCGTTTGCCATTATTCTCTAATCTCACCCTATTTCAAGAGACTAGCGTAACTACCGATTATTTATCCTCACATCATTTGAAAAGTGATCTACACTATTCTGAGCTGCTAGTGCTAACTTATTTTGACTGACATGATCAGAGTGTTCGAGAAACTTGCGAACAATATGATATGTTCCTAACAAAACAGCTTTTACATTTTGACAAATATTGAATCACATTTACTGGCATCGAAAATATTGGAAAAAACCAATAATGTAACAGTGGCACGATTTATCATTGAGTAATTCTCGTAAGTATTAAAAAAAACATTTTTCGCCGATCGATTTACATTAACTTCGATTTGCATTAGCCTTCAAACTGCATCTAAGTGACGTCAGTCAGATTGGTTATATTTATCAATGCACAATTGCAAAGTTGCATTAACATTGTTGCACAACTAGGCCAAATTTGTAACTTTGTTATGTGGTCCGGTAAGTAATCTGATGTAAGCCGACCTTAAATTTGGTCTGTGATCCCATTTCTGAAATGTTAATTCAAATATAATAATACAGGTATATTATGGCCAACGGGAATCAAAGACGAAATACTAAAACTACTACTACAGGACGGCGCTGCATACAAAATGTGGCAAATATCTGGAAATATTTTATCCCAACTTAATTTATGCAACATGTTTGGCTCACACCCTAAGTTCATTAGCTAAAGTTATCCAGAATCAATATGAAGATGCCAATGGTGTAATTTCTAGCCTAAAGAAAGTATTTCTTAAATCTCATTTGAAGATCTAAGCCTTCCGGGAAGCCTTACTGGATTGTCAATTGCCTCCAGAACTGGTTCGGACAATATGGGGTTCATGGATTGAATCGGCAATATATTGTTGCGATCATTTTGACGATATAAAAAAGGACCGTCATTT